ATTTCACGCCTATACAATTCACCGTTTAAAAGTTAGACACTAAACACAATTCTTGTCCATTTTTCTTTCAAAACACACACAAGGGTATATAAATCCACCAACTTAGTGCTAATATTCTTGAAACCATTTGAACCAACTCAAATGGGCTATACACAAGCTAATAGATTAATGATATAATAACAATTACATTTCATACATATATTGCCATAAAAACCCCAATTTTCATAATGATACAAGGGGTGGCATAAGTTTACAATTATCAATCCATTGGCCAATTAAACAAATAAATTACAAACATCACGATAACATTCACTTGCATTTGTATCTTGATTTTTTATCACAATTTCATTACAAACACATTATTATAGGCTAAGATACCCACCATTACATAATCATATATATGTGAACTCAAAAATTAAGGTATGATCTTATATTGGCATAAGATTTATAAAATATTTATTACAAAATCAAAAGGAAGGGGAAGAGCTATACAAACTCAAGCTTTTCAAATCACAGCCAAGTCTTTCTTTCCTTTGCTTTTATCAGAGCCTTCTCCTATAAAGTATAACCACAGGGTGAGAAAAATATTTTAGTAATAGAATTATTCACCATTATCAATTAATGTGTATAATTGTAAATGAGTATAGCTTATATATATGCAAAGATACATTTCACATATCACAAAAGCATTTTCATATTTGTAAGTAATTTTCACACTCTAGCCTACTAAAATCAAAGGCTCTATTAGACCAGAAGCTTACACATGTTGGCTCGAGTGCACCTTCCGTAGTAGAATCGTCTGGCCAAAAGTGTTATGTCCTACTTTTAGACTATGGTTTTCTCCTACTACTCATGATCGGGGTGTCATTACTCTAATGCTGTATCACACTAACATTAAGGAGAGTAAATCTATAATACTATGCCCTACATGGGCACCAAGGAGAGAATTATCTAACATCGTACATGTACAGGCACTGTGGAGAGGAATTCTCAACACTGTACCCTATTGAGCACTAAGAAGAATATAAGCCATATGGGCTTCACTACTCCTTCCTACGAATGAACTCCTACCCCCTAATATGATCATGTTTATATTTCTCATGCAAATCACAAGTTCGAATCCAAACCGTGAATTACTCATATATAGATACTTTTATAAATTCATTATTTTTCAAATCATGTTCCATGCACAATATACTTATTTTGCAATGTGTAACACTTTTGAAAAACTTATATGCAAAGTTACATATTTATTCACAACACATTTAAACAATTAATCAAATAAAACGAATTATTCAATTACCTTAACCCTTTTATCACAAAAAGGGGTTATTATAGTTAAATAATAGCTCCACAAGTGTCCACTAGCATAATAACACTCGATCAATATTTAATCTACAAAATTAAACACTAGTCAATAATTATAACTCTAATTAAATCCCTTTTAGCCTATTTTTGAGAACCACTATATCTAAAATCCCTCTTTAACATCATTAACACTTTCAGTATACTCAATTAATTTTATTTAACACCTAACCACATACATTTCACTAATTTTTTAACCACATTGCTCTAAATATCTTAAATTTTCCTTAAGGTTTGTCCAAACCCTAACAAAAAATCTCGAATCATTATAAACTTATCAAACTTAGTTTAGAAACTTGATCTAACTCCTTAAGGCCTTATCTAAGTTAATGGGTTCAGTTATAACCTAAAAGAAACTAAAATCAAGTCCCCACAATATCCAAATCTAAAGAAAATTTGCATAAAGGAAGGAAAGGAGTGAAGAGAAATTTACCTAATGATTAATCTTGCTTAAAACATCCTCAAAAAGCCCAAGTGATGATGCCTTAGTAGAGGCAAAATGAGCTCCCATTAGTTCTCCTCTTTCCTTCCTCTTTTGTTTTGTCAATGCAAGCTCAATTTAATAAAATTTGGGCCTATTTGTTGCAATAGATGGCACAGTAAGGTCTAGAAAGATTTTGGGCCTTACATGCAGGTCTGATTAACCTGCACACCATCCTAGTCCACACCCGAAGCTATTCCAATGGTCTAACAATCTCATTAATTATTTGAAAACATCATTAACTTATCAATCCCGCAAATTTACCAATTTACTCTTTTAACACTTATAAATTTCAAAGTTAAAAAATCAAGATGTTACAAGTAAGGGTTAATGAGCATCTTATATTCCAAATTATTGAGCGAAAAACATCTTGGACCCTGAACTCTTAAAATGCACAAATTATTTCTCAATTAAAACCCCAACATTCATTAAGAGGACATTGATCATTAAGTGTGATGAGAGAGAAGACAACTTAATCAAAATTTGCCAAGTTAGCATGCCACATGTGAAAGGATGCTGTGAGAACCTATGACGTGCCCTTCAAGCATTTAATCACAGAGGAACCCTTAACTCAACCTGCTTCGACAACCTCACCTCCTTCTTTTACCTCCCTAACATCTATTGAACCATTGATTAGAGCCTCAAAGAAATTGACGCCCTTCTTAATGTCCCCAGTCTTCCATCGATTGCTGGTAGGGACATGCCTAGACCACTGCTATAAAGCCAACCTAGACCTCAAAAAATAAAAAAGAGGAAATCATATCCAATCATGTTTATATGGATAGATAAAGAGAACAATGATGAATGTAGAAAGAAATCAAATGATAATTGTAGGACCTAAATAAACTCACTCTTGAACCAGAGATTGACACAGATCCCAAGCCATCTCTATCTCCTTAGTTATTCCAAAGCTTTGCAAGGACGAAATTGACATTCAAGGTAAGGGAAGGCCTATCTTCTCGTCACCATCAAAATTGAAACATGAAAAACCCTAGGGGGAACTACCAATAAGAGAAGAACTAATAGAAATGATGAATAAGTTCTAGATTTTCATGTTTTGATTAGAGAGGAGTAGCCAAAGATTCTTATAAGTAATGTGGAATCCACCATCAAAGAAAACTTAAAATGTTGTCATATCATTATAAGTGGATCTAGATCCAGATTTCTTGCTACGATGGCCATTTAATTAATTAGATTTTGAAAGAGATCTTAACTTCACTACTCTTCATTTTCTCCTTCCCTTGCTGAAGACCCCTTGTTTTTCCTGAATCATGAATCTTCCTCCACAATTGTTCCAACCACTCTATAATTTTTGTGTTATGATCTGTGTTACCTCTCTCATACATTTTTAGCTTGTTCGAAAGATGATAGATGGTTATGCTTGTGTAAAATGGATGAAGAGAAAGAGTCCATCGACGCCATAACTTCAATCGATGATCATGCAATATATCAACAAAGGTGAGGAGGAATGATTGCCACATTAGCATGTGAGTAGGCCCTGCATGACTTGGGGCGGACAGAGGTTATAACTGGAGGGGGTCATGGCCTCCTATATATATTTTTTAATTTTTTTTATTATGTGTAATAGGATATGGTTTTGCTAAAAAAGGGGTATGGGTTGCTAAAAGAGAAAATTATTATTTTCGTCCCTAAATTTTTTGTTTTGACTTTTGCCTTAATACTTTCACTGTGCATTCCTCTCTTCCCACACTTACTTGTTGATGTTACCTTTTCACTTAATAAAACAAACATCTACTTCAACATCAATTATTATTATTTATCTCTCTTTATCTCTATAGGTAGTCATAGATAAATATGAATATATTATTAACTTCTTTTAATTTTTATCATCAACCATTTTTCTAAATCATAAAAATGTGAATTTTTTCATAGGATAAGACGTAAATACTTAACTTTATATATTTAATATATTTTTATCTAATTAAATCAAAACAAACAAATTTAAATATGCTAATAATATTAATAATAGGAGTTTCTTATGGAATAAATAAGTATATACGTTTTTCCTATTTTTACAATCAAGTTTTTCTTTTTTTATATATTCTTTGCAAAACTGTTTTCTTGAATTTTTGACAAAATTTATTATTGAAAAATTTTCAATGTTAATATATTGATAATGGCAAAGATGATATTTTTAATTATTGAAAATTTTATCAACTATATGATAAAATTATTTTAAATTAAAAATAAAAATTCTAATTACATAAAATTGGCCCCCCATTTATTGCTTTGGTTCTTTTGCTGCCCATAAGTGCAAAAGTAATAACTATTTTTCTCTAACTTAATGATAGAATTTTAGGTGTTCCTAATTTAAAAGTTAAGGATAATTTTTTGCACATTTCAAGAGTTTAAAATCTATAATATTATTTGTGCAATATTTGAGGATTTAAGATGCTCACTAACTTGTCAACAAATTATAGAAATTAAATTATTTTGAATCAAAATTTAAGGATGTGCTTGATTCGAGAGAAGGGGAGAGAAGGAGTTTGATATTACTTTATTTAATTTAAGAGGGAAGAGAAGGAAAAATAATTATATATAAATAATTTTGTCATCGTTTTATTAGTGTTGAGATGCTAGATAAATATATTTGTATTTTTTAAATTGTTATAGAAGACATATTAGTTAAGGTATGAAAAATTTTACTCTTCTCCCAATCCTCCCAATCTGAGCAGTAGGGTTTGAGGGAAGGCCTTCTAACCAAACATTTCCTAAAATTGAATGATAATTTAGAACAAATTTTGAGACTAAAGAACTCATTTCTTCAAAATATGTGCAACTTCAAACCTTAAAACATTATTCATATCTCGTTTTATAATTCTTTTTACCCCTCAAGTGTCACGATGGGGACTCCGACAACAATGAACCAGCACCTCTTAAAAGGCAAAGGCGCGTAAAAACTTAAAAAAAAAAAAAAGGCTTAAAATGAATTCAATCCAGGGGCTGGCCTGGCCGTAGTCTGTGAAAGATCGTACTAGCTTCTGAAGGATGCACCAGCATCACATCTCTTCTTTGTCCATTAATTACTTCATTACAACAAATAAAGCTAAAAAGAACCATATTTACCTCTTCAAGCAACTTCTGATTCCTCTATGACCACCTTCTCCGGCTCCTCCCATTATATCACCACCCACCAAATCCTCTCTCGCTCTTCCTTTCCTTCTTTGAACTTCGAGAAAGTCACTGATGCAGACTCATGATGCTGACTGGGAGCTATAATGTTTAAAGCTGGAATACTCATAACAAGTCACATTCTGTGAAGCAACAGGACACTACAGCATTGGAAGCTGGTACAAGTGCAACTATGAGCAACAAAGTGTGGTTTTTCCTTTGCCTGGTTTTCTTGGAAACGCATCTGGGTATGCTCTGTCTTTCACTCTTGAGTTCAGGCTTCATATTTTTATGTTGTTTGTGTAAGTGAAGTCTTCTGGGTTTGTTTTTTCCCCCATTTTAGTTCATAGTTCTGGTTAGCTATTTAGCTTCTGCTTCTGCTTGGTCTTCTCTTTCCTCTCTTCTGTGTTGCCATTTGTTAGTCTGGACGTTCATTTTAGTTTTCTTAATCTTCGTTCCCATTGTAGCAAAAATGGTGTCCCTGATCATATCTGTAACGTTAAGCCACAAAAATTTAAGCCTTTTGCTCTACATCAATACATCATTTGCAGGAAGCAAAGCAAGGTGAAAAGCTGATGGCCCAAGAGAAAAATACATGGCGAATGTTCTTATTAAAGGGAGGAAAACCAAAAGAATGAAAGAAAAATTGATTTCAGATTTTCCTTAACTTCCTCTCACCTTACAGTCTTGTGAACAGGAAGAAAAATAAATAATTACCCTTCTATTTTCAAGTCCTTGACTTCAGTGTTGGACTATGGAGTCCAGTTTGTGTCTATTACGGTGAACCTCTCACTCTGCTTCTCAATGGAGGCATCATTTGTGTACCCATGATGGGCTTTAAACCCTAAACCCCAGGAAATAATTTTTGGCTTGGTAAATGAGGATGAAGTTTTATACTTTGAATAGGAAAGAAAATTAAAAAAGGAAAAGCATGGTGGTTTCATACACTTTACTTCCATCATGCATCTTATTTGTTGCTGTCAGAATTTCCAGATCTTCTAAAATGTACATATCTTGGGCATAACAAAAGTAATGAGCTAAGAATTTTGTTCCATTTTCTCCTTTTCAGGACAAATGAAAAGGTAGGTTCTAGACTCTCGTAACATCGGTGTTTAAGATTATAAGCAAAACTGCTAGCCTTTTTACTAGCTAGTTTTCCTTTATTTTTTTCCTGTTCTAAATTTGATTTTAGATTAAACTGGATTTCAGATTCTTCGAACTACCTCGAATTTCAATTTACATTGAGACCTTTTTATTAACGAAAATATGAAATGGTTAGCCAAGCCTCGTGCATCTTTTCTCCTGGAATCACCGGAAGAAAGACCAGCTCATCCTTACAAAGCTTCAAATAAGGAAGGGGGGGGGGGGGTATAGGTTTCAAAATGATCAAGAGGGGAAGTGAAACTGTTTCAAATTATAAAATACTTTTAAATAAAATCTCGCATATTAATAAATTTTATTAAATACGCTTAACAGCTTTATTTTTTTAAAAAAAATATAAACTTTTAAAAATATCTATAATTTAATATATTGAAAAGAAAAGGGATGGAAATTAATTACCAAGAGAGAAATGATAGTATTAGAATACGTCTATTTAATAAAATCTTAATCTTCTCAAAGTGTTTTATATATTGAGACGTCGAATTTCTCCCAAAAGTGTCTTATAATTTAAGACGGAAGGAGTATTATTTTTTATTTCAATTTTCAGTTTATTGATTTATCACTGAATTGAATCATAATTTATGTTGTGATTCTATTTAGTCATGGGAAGGGGAATAGCTGTGCAAGAGAAGGCAGATGCAGCAATTCCAGTCACAACCATGTCACCTCCAGAAGGCAATACAACTTTCCTTGATGGCACAACATATTGTGTGGCCCTTCCCGGCGCTTCCCAAGTCGATTTGCAGAATGCTCTAGACTGGGCTTGTGGCCTGGGAATGGCTGATTGTACTGCCATCCAAGGAGGTGGGCCATGCTTTGATCCAGACACTTTGGTGTCTCATGCATCATATGCATTTAACAGCTACTATCAACAAAATGGGAATTCTGATATTGCTTGCAATTTTGGTGGAACTGCCACTCTCACAAGGAAAAACCCTAGTAAGTTAGATACGATTTGCTCTGCAGTTCATATTTTATGAAGCACAGACACTTCAAGGAAGAAGGCAGGTCTATGCCTGTCATACACTTGTAAAAGACACATGACATGATTCTTGAATTCATACATGAACCGTTAATATTTTATTGAGTGTTTGTGTTACCCTATCTTTATCTCAGTCATTTTCTTTGTTTGTGTCCATTTTTTTTTGTCAAGCGGATCTTCACAACTTTGCCTGCTGGCCATTTTTAATTTCCTTATTAGCATTGCCATTTACGTGACAACCTATCCCCTTTTGGTAACAGGTTTGTGTTTGTGCAGTTTATAGTGATGTAAAACTTGTGGTCCTTACTAAATTTCTTTCTGGTTGATGAATGCAAATGCAAACCATTATGCAAAAGTTTTCTTTAACTTTCTGCATGTGATTCTCTCTATCTGTACTTATTTTGTATGAGAGAAGGCTTAAAGGTGGTAAACGCTGGGGGCACAAGCAATCCCATCCAATCCCATCAATTTTATTTTATTTTTATGTACTTTCTAAATTTGATTTGCATCATTTTACATTGTTGTCATTATATTCATGTCTTTCTGATAAATTAGCTAGGAAGAATTTAAATGTGCTTCCTTTCTGTGCAGGTTATGGAAAGTGTAACTATGCTGCATCTGGGTATGTATGGAATCTTAAGCACCACTGTCTTGCGTTGAAAGAAGCAGCTCATATTATATATATTGATTGACTGATTCAAACTAGGGCATAATTTTCATGTCACAGATCCGCACGTTCTTCAAATGCAGCTCCAGTGGGGAAGTATAATCCGAGTTTCAAGTGGCGGAAACTTGCTGTTCTGGTACTGCTTTTATACTATGGGAGGCAGTGATGATGATGATGATGATGGAATTGATATCTTGAAACTTCATTTGAACAAACATGCTAGCTGGGAATGTCATGTAATGAAAGAAAAAGAAAAAGAGAAGAAAAGATAGGGAGGGAGAACCTCCATTAGCATTTTTGTAGTTGTGTTTGTGCTAAGAAATTCCTTGCTTTCATGTTGGGACAGAATCTCTCACTGCAAATCTTTAAAAGTTTCGGTGTGATTTGTACCCATTGTGCGTATGTTCTTCTTGTCTCTTGATTGCGGCTTCACTGTCAATCCTAATCATAGTATATCTTTGTTCTTCAGCTTTGTTGTGTTGGTATTTTTTATTGGGAGAATTTCATTTAAGGATCACATTAAAGAATTAATTTTAGGTGGGTCTAATTTTTTTTTTTGAACTTTCAATTTAATCAAAGGAAGAAAAGTCAAAAGGAAAAGATCAAAATACCTTTAATTTATTATGTAAAATTATTAGCTGTTAATTTTTTTATTTCACTTGTTAATTTATGAATATGAGTTATAAATTATATAAGTTGACATATCAATAATTACATAAAAATTAATATTAATTTTTTAATTATAAGCAGCAATATCAGTTGTTAAATTATTAACTTTACTTGTTAATTTACTAAAATTAGTTATAAACAAATGACATGTCATGTTATTTACAATTGATGTTAGTAAATTAATAAGTAACGTTAGCAAATTAATAATTAAAGTTAGTGATTTTTTAACAAATGGATGTAATTTGTAACTTATATTCATAAATTAATAAATGAAGTAAGAAAATTAACAAGTATTAATTTTATATAATAAGTGAAGGATATTTTAATTTTTTTACTTTTAAAATTCTTTTGACTTTTTTTTCTTGACTAAACTGAAATTTTAATTTTTTTTTGAATCTATCTGAAATTAATTACCTATAATAGTCCTTAATTGAAATTGTCCTTTTTTTATTTGGGATTGAGTATATATTCTGTAACTTTTCCAAACATTCCTTGGACGGTTTATATAATACGGCATTCCCATATCGTCTTCTTAATTATTCAGAGATGGTATTTGATAATAAAAATGAGGCAAGGAGTAGTAAGTTAGCCATTCACTGAACCTACTACAGTGGGGAATGCATCTTAGAATAACAAATTATTTATTTTCTTATGTATGGGCTAACAAATTCTAAAATAATTTTCTTACCAAAAAATTATATAGTAATTTTTAAGAGAATAAAACTTTATATTTTTAATATGCACAAGATAGGTATTTCTGAAATAAAATAGATTGTTTAATTTTTTTGATATTTAATCTCGATTAGTGTCTAACGCATCACGTAGGAGTACAATCTCGTCATAAAATAATATCTTTTGTTCCCCAACAAATAATGCGTTACTTGTAGACATTTTAACTTAAGTCGGTTGACGCAAAAAAGTTAGTTCGATCATGAAAATACACATTAAGGTATAACTTTTACAATAAATCACGTAAGTTTTTTTTTTTTTAATGTTTGATAATCGTGTAAAACTCATAGCTTTCTTAAACTTGCATTAAATCTCTTCTATCTCTTTTTGAATTTTTTTTTTTAAATATTTTTGAAATTTGTAAAGACTTGTGAAGAATAGTTTTGATTTCAAAATCCAAAATGAATAATAGAAGTAAGATGGAGCAATAAGAAAAAGGCAAACTCAACAAACCATTGAAGACATACAATGGAAAGCAGGAGCAATAATCAAATTCTCTAGTTGGAGCTAAAGCTAGATATGGTCTTACACATTATTTCCATACAGGAAGTAGCTATTCCACCATATCCTCTTGGCCAATACTGATCAAAGGCTTTCAACTTTCAAGAAGACTTGTGTTTTGAAGCTAGATTTCCTGCTGTTGCTTGCGTGGCGTTGGCCTTTGAGAACCAAGTGGTATACAGAAACTGCTTGTGAGCCCCTACATGGTTGCATATAAGACGTAGCTTCTGCCTCTCCTTCATCCACCTCAGCACTAATTTCATTTGAGTCTTGCTCGTCAAATCTTTTAATCCAACCCCCTTCAAACAATCGAGATGATCAGTTAATCCATAATCACATAAGTCAGAAGCATGTTGATCTGTCAAATCTCCAGAAAATATGAAATCACGTCTTCAGAAGCAAGAAGTTTGTAAACTGACTCTAACAGTCTGCAAGATATCTCGGGTTTCAATTAAATTCACTTCTCAGAAGTTCGATACTAGAAGTTTTTAAACTGCCTCTAAAGTGAAAGATACAGTAAAACGAGAGTGAGTGGAAAGAGAAGCGAGTCTCATGCATACTTAAATTTCTTGTATTAGTCTCTCTTTAGGATCTGAATTCAGCCACACCTCTGTTCCTCTGATCGGGCGCTCAAATGAGAGCAAAAGCTAACTATAGAGGTGTAATCCACCACCCCATCAAACATCCCATACCCCTCAATGTGAGATTTAGTCATTCTACCTTGGTCTTCATATTCTTTCATTGGAAACAAAAAGTCTCCAGGAAAAGTGACCAGGATTCATATGTTGATATGAATAAAGGATAAGGGAGGGCAGTAATTAGGAACTTAGGCTTTAGTTCGTGCCAAGTCATTGCTTGTTAATGGCATAATGACTAGAAGGGGCTTGTTTGACGGGCAGGAGAAGCAGTTATGACTGTTAATATAATCTGTTCGTCCCTACCTCTCCTTTCTAGTTCACAACGTTCACATCATATGTATAGTCATGTAACAAAAATAATCTGTTAATTTCTTGGTCGGGAGAAGAATGAGCTTCTTTGGTTTTATACTTTTATTCATCTTTTGCTCAGACTAACTAAAGCACAGCCAAATTGCCCATTCCAAATGCCATTTTCATAAACATGGCTTGATTTGCTGAAATATAGACAGAATACCTCGCCTGTCATGGCCTATCATGTAACAGTATATCATCATCCAAGAAACCCAAGAGCAAGCCAAGATGATACGTTTCAACCAGAGAGTGGCGAACATTCTATATTATTCATTTAGGATACAAATAACACATAAACTTCAAAATTTTCAAGTACTTTTGAAATTAAAATTCCTCCATAACAAACACTATCAAAAAGTTTCAGAGTTTTTAGTGGATGTACGGGAATTCAAACTGCATAAATAAATCAAACAAAGAGACAGTACATTCTATTATACCTGGACACGTTGCCAGGTCTCTCCGATGGTGATGGGTCCATGCTCATTCACAATGTCAAAGAGAACCCTAGTGATGGTCTGCCTCTGCTCTGGCGGCGTTTTGAGAGATACAGGCCTCATCTTTGGTTTTGATTTCTTGGCAAAGTACCTAATTGCTGTCGCAAACATACTGTGTTCTTGTGCTGAAACCTAAATGAACACCCTCCTCCTTGCACAGTCAAAGAACACTGAACTCTAACACCAACTCTGCAAATAAATACAAAACATAATCCATCAGCAGCACCATCTCAATTCCTAAATGAGGTTAGGAAAGCGGTAACTTCTTTGAAATGTGAAGATTTAGGGCAAAGCCACGCCAACTCCTTAAATTGTATGAACTCAAATAGACATTGTGGCTAGGAAAATGAACAAAAAGAAATCTAGAGAATGACAAGATAGATACTTAATAAAATGAAACAACTCAAACAATATAGATAAGTTGCACGGGCAGCGAATGAAGAATTTGAATCAGAAGCATAACCAAATGAAGCCGCTAGAGAAACAAAGATTAAAGTCATAAAATCAAATGAATATCATAATAAGACACATGAAAGGGTAAGAAACACTATCGCTGAGGGCAAATGACAAAACTTATAAACACATTTCGAATTTATTTACAAGGTTATGAAAGTTGAGTTGTTTTAAAATCGATGAAGACTTTGGACAAAACCAAATCGATCCATGATAGAGGGACAGCTCATAAATGGGATATGACTTATGTATGGTACTATATAGCAAGTGCCACCGCTGAGATGAATGAAGAATCTGAATAAGCATGAACAGGATCAGCAGACAAAAACAACGATTAGAGGAATCGAATCGAGTGGAATCACAACGAAAAGAGGAAACAAGTACCTGAGAGATAGAAAAACGCAGATAGGGAGGCGCAATCTCAAGTGGGTTGGAGACTCAAAACTCTGCTTGCTCTCCTTGGCGCTCGAAGCAGGAGGGAGGGCAAAGGGAATGCCGCACTTTGCTGGGGTGAGAACGACACTCCCAATCTGCGTTTTGATCCATGGTGTAAAAATGTAAACTATTATATTATTTAAATCAGACTAGTTCTTGGCTTGAAAGAAAACTATTTAACTTCTTTTTTTTTTTAATATAACGGGCTAAAAAAGCCTGAAGAAAGAGACAACAAGGATGAAACCAGATCCATTAGTTCACTGTTAATAGTTTAGACCGTAATAGCCAAATACTTTATAAAAGGTTTCACAGTAATACTTGATAGATGGTTAGAAAAATACGCATTACATGCAGATCAATCGACATATATATTAACTTCTCTAAAATCATGATCATAATGCACTTCTTAATCTCACATAATCATTCTCCTTATATCTTCTACAATTCTATAAATAGAGTGTGATCTTTGATGAATCTTTTAAATGTTCTTAATTATTTCTTTTAAATTTGAGAATATTTTAACTTTTTTTGATCAAAAATTTTAATAAAAAATAAAAAATTCTCTTATTCTCAGTATTCTTGTAACCGTGCTAAGAAAGTATCTCAATTTTCTCACGAAGCTGCCTCTACAATTGCTGGAATGCCTCCAACAAGATGAGCGAGGAATCTAGAGATAAAATATAATGCCTCCAACAAGATGAGCGAGGAATCTAAAAATAAAATATAATATGATAATTAAAGTATTTAGTTGTCCGGCTTTAATTATAGGACAAAATTTTAAAATCCTATTTGGCCTTAAATACAAAATAAAATAGTTAATTTTTTTCTTCTTAATATTACCTCTCACTAATTGTATTAAGTTGTAATTTTTAGACATAATTTATGATGACAATTAATTTTAATAAAAGACAAAATTTAAAAATTAAACATTTTTATAAGTTAAACTTTTTAAGAATATTAACTACTTTTCTTTAAGAATTAAGAATCGTAAATTTAGTTATTTTTGTCAAATGACTAGGAAATGAGGGAGTAGACATGCTATCTATTTTCTATTAATACAAATGTAAAATTAATAAGCTCAATGCTAAGTTGCTAACGGTTTTTATCTTTTTTTTTTTTTTTTTTTTCCGTTGGCCAGCTTTGACAAACCTTAACCTCTTTAAGAGGCCACGAAAGCACAAACCCCCTATTGCACAGATCCTCTGAAAGGAAAAACCCTAACAGCAGAGGAAGGAGGAAGAGAATGGCGAAGTCCATGAGATCGAAGAGGGAGAAGAGGCTGAGGGCTATTCGTAGGGAGATCGTTGAGCCTTTCTACGATAAGAAAGAAGCCGCTAAGCTCGCCGCCCAAGAGGCTGCCCTCGCCGCCCCTAAACTTCCCGTTCGACAACCACCTAACATCGCCATGGACGCTTCCACCTCCGCCCCAGCGCTCACTACCGCCATGGGTATGATCCCTTCTGCTAAATATTTGCGTTTTGATGACTAAGCTTGCGTCTCTAACCGGGTGAAATTCGATGCAGCGTTCTAATTTCCTGGTTGGTTTTGGGGAGGATGTTGATTTTTTGTGTGTTGTTTTTGGTTGATGTTATATATTGAAGTAAAGCTTGTACCTTTTAACTAGATGTAATTATAACACTATGAGACTCTATTTGTCAGCCACGCTTAACTAGCAGACTCTGAAGCATAATTGATCGACTGCTCTAATTTTATGCGTTTTCTTGCAAGTTTTTTCTTTTATTTTTGGCTGTTTAAAACTTAAAAGTTATTGAATGAAGTAGAACTGATCAGATCATTAATGACTAAAAAAGAAGTAGAGCTGACTATTTTTATGCTGACTTTAATTTTAATACTGTATAGTACTGGAGTAGTTGTTATGTTCATACATAAGCCTGGAGTTGCGTGTCTTTATGCCTTAGTCGAGAACTCCATGACGGCTACTTGGCCAGCTGCTATAACATACTGATCAGATGATTCAGTGCTAATTTTCTTGATGGTGCTGCTTTCCCTGCCATCCAGGCTAGCATCACTGGCTGTATGTCACTATTGTGTTGATCTGTTCGATTATTTTGTGAAGGCAAAAGGAAAATTTTGGCGTCCTTTCTTGTTTCATCTTTTAAGTTCAAGTTAGTGGTTTAATGTGTGTCAGTTTTTATTTTCCTTGTGGCTCATTCTGATATCTGGATTTTCTAATAAATTCTCAAGATGTGGAGATGGCTGATGGCAATCAAAGCATGGTTTCCCTTAAGCCTACTGGTGGAGTTGGGAAGAAATCTAAGAGAAAATTCAAGGTTGGCAAATGCAAACGCCGTGGCGCTAAAGGCAAGTTTAGGAAGAAGCACATATAAGTCTCCAATTGATAATGGTAATGATTTTCATTTATCTTCAACATTAGTTTTCTTACATGTGGTTGCAAAGTTTGGGGCTATGTTTGTCATATCACGATAATGTTATATACAATTTGATTTGATGCAGTATCATTTTATTTTATTCAATCTTTAAGGAAGCATGACATGGATTTCATGTTGTTTCCTGCAATAGCATGACCTCACCACTGCCTCCCTAGGGTCTTTTAGCGATGCTGGGACCCCTCCTCTCACGGGATCCAGTCCAGCATTCCCCATTGGTGGTACAGTGGGTATTCCTCACCCTATCCTCATGGGGGTCTTTTGGAACCTCTCCAGATTCGATCCTCTAACCTCTACCACCTTAGCGAAGTTGAGGCTGAATCTAGTACCAATGAGTGACTCAATAGTACCAGGTTTAGCCTTAACTTTGTTATGTATGAGAGGTTGGAGGATCGAACCTGGGAAGGTTCTCCGCAAGGGGAATAATCCTTTACATTACTGCGGGGAAGCCTTTGTCTCCTGATGCTTACCGTAAGGGGTGGGGTCGCCCTGTTGTGGGGCCTGGGGGGAGAGTGTCTAGCGTCGCAAAAGACTTCGGGGATGTGGGGTGAGCGGAGGGCTGTTACATAAAAAGGTACTCATTGGTACCAGATTCAACCTCAATTTCGCTAACGTGATAGAGGTTGGAGGATCGAATATGGGGAGGTTCCAAAAGACCACCGTGAGGGTTGGGTGAAGAATACCCACTGTACCACCAGTGGTGAATGCTAGACTGGACCGCGTGACGGGAGGGGTCCCAGCACCACCAAAAGACCTTAAGGAGGGAGTGGTGAGGCCGTTTTGTTACATAAGACTCAATGGTACCAGACTTAGCCTCAACTTTGTTAAGGTGGTAGAGGTTGGAGGTTCGAGTTTGGGGAAGTTTCAAAAGACCCTCGTGAGGGTGGGGTGAGGAATAACCATCATACCACTGGTGGGAAAGCTGGCGACCATCCCGTGAGGGGAGGCACGCCCAGCACCGGCAAAAGACCCTGGGAAGGCAATGGTGAGTGCGTGCTGTTACATAATTGTAACATCCTGATTTTTTTAGATTAAAAAAATTGTGAAATTTAAGTGTTTTTTTTAAAAAAGAGAAAAGTATGTTAAAAAAAAGGGAGGGCGGTTTAGTTCCATATTGATTAGATGCGGGAAGGTGAGGCGCCTCCTCGTGAGGAGGCGCAGGCGTGAGGAGACGCAGGAGGAAGTAAAAGAAAAAGAAACTTTTGCAATTTGTGAAAATTGCAACTAATGGCCCAAGATGCAATTTTTAAATTGCAAGTAATGGCTCAAAAGTTTGAATAATTAAATTCAAAAATAGTTTTTTTAATATAATTGTGGGACCCACAATTTAATTTTTATATTATTTTTCTCTTCCTCTCATGTTGCTCGGCGTTTTCTCGCAAGGGGGATTATTTTATTTTTTTCAGGTATGCTCCAACTTTTCTGTTTAGATTAACATTTAAAAAATTATTTAATTACAAAATTAATTTTATAGTTATTTTTTAAATAGTATTAGCTTTCTAGCGATATGAGTATTTTGTAGAATAGAGCAAATATTTTGATTAGAATTTTCTATAGGATAGTTAATCTGATAATATGATGGATTAAAAATATAGATTAAAGTTCTTAGAGGTATAATAAATATTATAGAATATTTTTTTAGGGTTGAAACTCATGTTTAAGAATTTTGAGTTAAACTTTAGATCTATATGGTTGAATTTATGGTGAATCTGAGATGTAGAGATGAATCTCTGATTATTAAATATTTGTTTAAGTATGAATAGGTATTTTTTAGGTTATAGAAAAGTGATTTGAGATTTCAGGATAATTCTAAAATTTTTAATTTATTTTTGGACGAATTTTTAGAATATAGAAGGATGAAATTGTGGTAAGAAAAGTGATTTGAGGCTTAAAAATAGTTTATTAGGATACGGGAATTTTAGAAAAGAATTGGAAAAGTTAAATAAGGCCTTAAATTAGTGTTAATATGGATTATAGATCTAAGGCTTTCTAACTTTTTAAATTAGAGTTATTTATTTTAATCTAAAATTAATATATAGTATTATGAAATAGCTATGTAGATTGTGTTGACAAAGATAGTAGTGAAAGAAGAGTTGTGAAGGGGAACTTGTTTTTCAAGATGCAAGGAAACCGTTATTAATATGTTGTGATGAGTGTGTTTGTAAATGGTTATGTGTTCTCTTATTGTTTGAAAAAATTATGTATTATTGAAAATAAATACTGTTGTATACTTGTTTGAAATTATTGCCAAGTAGGTCAAAAATTTATTTTTGTTTATCATGATGAGATAGTATTGTTCGGATATATTTCTGTTTGAATATTTGAATGATGCATGACTTGTCAGGGTATTTTAATATGTGGTGTTAATGGGAATTTCTGTTCGGTTAATTATTACCACGTGGTAAGCCCTCATTGGACCCAATGAGTGGCGTGTCGCTTGGTCCAACTCACTTTTGGCTGGGTGATTTGGCGTCCGAGCATGACGAAAGGAGGATATAAGGTGCAGTCATGCAATTAAATACCTGTTCGGTTTGTTAGGAAATATTGTTCGGTTAAATGTTTTGTGTGCCCACTTAGCAATTGCATGATTAGCTACATCTGCATGCGTCATTACATATTAATTTTTGGTTACTGGGACTTTTAAGTCTCATTCCTCGTGGTTAACATTTTTACAGGAGCGAGCCCGGCCGAGAAAGCACCAGAGGCGTAACTTTGGTGTATGAAACACCATCTTTTACGATGGCTCTCATTTTGTATTATGCAATGTATCTTGTGTCAATCTAGGACATTTCTTATTTTGACAACATGTAAACTCTAATCCTTTTCATTAAATGCATTTATATGACCAAGAGGATTATGTGTGTCCCTCTTGATTCATGACCTGATTTAAATATCATGCCATGAGGATCCTGTCTGTCCCTCATGGTTCTAATTGCTTTTTGAGATATTTTAAGACCTGTGGTATATTGTCTTGGATGTATCTTTCTACCATGATAAGGATTCAATGAAAAAAAATAATTTATTGAATTAATAATTTGTCAAAAATCGGTTTGTAAATTTAAGGATGTTACATATTGGTATCAGAGCATCATGTTTTGAGCCTTTATTTTAGTGATATTTATTTAGACTTTTGTTTGAAACTATTACTTGTGTGAATTTAATATGTATTTATTATGTGTGGTGCATTGCATATAGTCATTTGGCAATATACATTGTTATGGTGCTTCTCATTGTATGGCCATTATATAATTAGGTTAATTTTATTATTTATATCTCGTATCCTTTGGAAGGGGAGAGAAAATGCCTGTTACTCGCGGAAACTCAGGATTCCAACATGAGCACCTACCACCGCCACTGCCAAATGAGGAGCATGACTTGGCAGAATTGAGAATGCTTGTAAAAACATTAACAGACAAGGTTCAAGGATAGGAACGAGAGTTGACGGAGCTAAAGAGGCAAAAGGTGGCTGAAAATGGAGATAGGGCTCATGTTGAGAGTCATGTGGGGCAAGACAGTTCCTCACATCCTGCCATTCCGAGAGATCATGAGTGTAGAAGGGAGGAAACTAGGCAGGAGGAACAGAGAGCCCCACCGACCATTACCGATGTGTGGGAAACTGTTAGGAAGTTTAACCTTCCTACATTTGATGGTAACCTTAAACCATCTGTGGTAGAGGAATGGGTGAAGAGACTGGAGTCCATCTTTCGAGTAGTCACGTGCACCAGTAATCAGAAAGTGCAAGTAGCATTAGTGCTCCTAGTGAAGGGAGCAAGAGATTGGTGGGGGACAGCTGGACCCAGGGATGATTCTACACTCACATGGGAGGAATTCAAGTAAAAATTGTTCAGACATTACTTTTCATCAGAGTTAAGGTCTGAAAAGGAAGCTGAGTTCCATGCTTTTAAGCAAGGAAATCTCGATGAGGACACATTCATTGCTAAGTTTCAGGAGTTATCTAGATGCTCCACGTACATGCAGTATAGGGATGATTCTGAATGGAAGGCCAAGCGCTTATTGGAGAAGGTTAGACCAGAATTAAGGGAGCAATTGGCTCACCTGGATATCCGAGACTATGACGAAATGTGCATAAAATTATAAGTAGTAGCTCGCAGTAAGAGGGAGGACGAGAGAGAGAAGAGGGGTTATTCATATAGTAAACCCCCAACCTACCCCCGATCCATTGGAGGCATTACAAAGAAGAACCATCAGGGTTCGAGTAGCTTATGGAACCAGGGAAGGCAGAAGGGTCCATTTCAAAAGAGCCAAGGACACATTACCACCCTAAGCTTACCACTGGAGACCGAGGAGAATGAGGCGAGATTATCCACAATTATTTGCTCAGGTACATAGTTTCTAAGCTTACCAACATTAAATTTTGAGGACAATATTTCTAAAAGGAGAGGAGAATTGTAACATCCTAATTTTTTAGATTAACAAAATTGTAAAATTTAAGTTAAAAAAAAGAGAAAAGAAAGTAAAAAAAAAAGAGGGTGGTTTAGTCCCATATCAATTAGATGTGGGAAGGTGAGGCGCCTCCTCACGTATAAAAAGAGGAGGCACAGGCGTGAGGAGACGCAGGAGGAAGCAAAAGAAAAAAAAACTTTTGCAATTTTCACAAAATTGCAACTTAAGGCCCCAAGATGCAATTTGCAAGTAATGGCCCAAAAATTTAAATAATTAAATTCAAACTTATAATTTTTTTTAATATAATTGTGGGACTCACAATCTCATTGTAATGAAAACGCTGAGCAACGTGAGAGGAAGATAGGTAAATACTGTCAGGCCCCTCTGTGACCCTTGATAACTACTATGATAGCTTCTCTGTCCTTGGCTCTTTTGAAATGGACCCTTCTGCCTTCCCTGGTTCCACAAGCTACTCGAACCCTGATGGTTCTTCTTTCTAATGCCTCCAGTGGATCGGGGGTAGGTTGGGGGTCTACTATATGAATAACCCCTCTTCTCTCTTTCGTCCTCCCTCTTACTACAGCTACTACTTATAATTTTATGCACATTTCGTCATAGTCTCGGATATCCAGGTGAGCCAATTGCTCCCTTAATTCTGGTCTAGCCTTCTCCAATAAGCGCTTGGCCTTCCATTCAGAATCATCCCTATACTGCATGTACGTGGAGCATCTAGATAACTCCTGAAACTTAGCAATGAATGTGTTCTCATTGAGATTTCCTTGCTTAAAAGCATGGAACTCAGCTTCCTTTTCAGACCTTAACTCTGATGAAAAGTAATGTCTGAACAATTTTTACTTGAATTCCTCCCATGTGAGTGTAGAATCATCCCTGGGTCCAGCTGTCCCCCACCAATCTCTTGCTCCCTTCACTAGGAGCACTAATGCTACTTGCACTTTCTGATTACTGGTGCACGTGACTACTCGAAAGATGGACTCGAGTCTCTTCACCCATTCCTCTACCACAGATGGTTTAAGGTTACCATCAAATGTAGGAGGGTTAAACTTCCTAACAGTTTCCCACACATCGGTAATGGTCGGTGGGGCTCTCTGTTCCTCCTGCCTAGTTTCCTCCCTTCTACACTCATGATCTCTCGGAATGGCAGGATGTGAGGAACTGTCTTGCCCCACATGACTCTCAACATGAGCCCTATCTCCATTTTCAGCCACCTTTTGCCTCTTTAGCTCCGTCAACTCTCGTTCCTATCCTTGAACCTTGTCTGTTAATGTTTTTACAAGCATTCTCAATTCTGCCAAGTCATGCTCCTCATTTGGCAGTGGCGGTGGTAGGTGCTCATGTTGGAATCCTGAGTTTCCGCGAGTAACAGGCATTTTCTCTCCCCTTCCAAAGGATACGAGATATAAATAATAAAATTAACCTAATTATATAATGGCCATACAATGAGAAGCACCATAACAATGTATATTGCCAAATGACTATATGCAATGCACCACACATAATAAATACATATTAAATTCACACAAGTAATAGTTTCAAACAAAAGTCTAAATAAATATCACTAAAATAAAGGCTCAAAACATGATGCTCTGATACCAATATGTAACATCCTTAAATTTACAAACCGATTTTTGACAAATTATTAATTCAATAAATTATTTTTTTTCATTGAATCCTTATCATGGTAGAAAGATACATCCAAGACAATATACCACAGGTCTTAAAATATCTCAAAAAGCAATTAGAACCATGAGGGACAGACAGGATCCTCATGGCATGATATTTAAATCAGGTCATGAATCAAGAGGGACACACATAATCCTCTTGGTCATATAAATGCATTTAATGAAAAGGATTAGAGTTTACATGTTGTCAAAATAAGAAATGTCCTAGATTGGCACAAGATACATTGCATAATACAAAATGAGAGCCATCGTAAAAGATGGTGTTTCATACACCAAAGTTACGCCTCTGGTGCTTTCTCGGCCGGGCTCGCTCCTGTAAAAATGTTAACCACGAGGAATGAGACTTAAAAGTCCCAGTAATCAAAAATTAATATGTAATGACGCATGCAGATGTAGCTAATCATGCAATTGCTAAGTGGGCACACAAAACATTTAACCGAACAATATTTCCTAACAAACCGAACAGGTATTTAATTGCATGACTGCACCTTATATCCTCCTTTCGTCATGCTCGGACGCCAAATCACCCAGCCAAAGGTGAGTTGGACCAAGCGACATGCTACTCATTGGGTCCAATGAGGGCTTACCACGTAGTAATAATTAATCGAACAGAAATTCCCATTAACACTATATATTAAAATACCCTGACAAGTCATGCATCATTCAAATATTCAAACAGAAATATATTCGAACAATACTATCTCATCATGATAAATAAAAATAAATTTTTGACCCACTTGGCAATAATTTCAGACAAGTATATAATAGTATTTATTTTCAATAATTCATAATTTTTTCAAACAACAAGACAACACATAACCATTTACAAACACACTCATCACAACACATCAATAATGGTTTCCTTGTGTCTTGAATAACAAGTTCCCCTTCACAACTCCTCTTTCACCACTATCATTGTCAACACAATCTACATAACTATTTCATAATACTATATATTAATTTTAGATTAAAATAAATAACTTTAATTTAAAGAGTTAGAAAGCCTTAGATCTATAATTCATATTAACACTAATTTAAGATTTATGCCTCATTTAACTTTTCAAATTCTTTTTTAAAATTCTCGTATCCTAATAAATTATTTTTAAGCCTCAAATCACTTCCAGTATCACAATTTTATCCTTCTATATTCTAAAAATTCGACCAAAAATAAATTAAAGATTTTAGAATTATCCTGAAGCCTCAAATCACCTTTCTATAACCTCAAAAATACCTATTCATACTTAAACAAATATTTAATAATCAGAGATTCATCTCTACATCTCAGATTCACCATAAATTCAACCATATAGATCTAAAGTTTAATTCAAAAATTCTTAAACATGAGTTTCAACCCCAAAAAAATATTCTATAATATTTATTATACCTCTAAGAACTTTAACCTATATTTTTAATCCATCATATCATCAGATTAACTATCCTATAGAAAATCCTACTCAAAATATTTGTTCTATTCTACAAAATAATCATATCGCTAGAAAGCTAATACTATTTAGAAAATAACTATAAAATTAATTTTGTAATTAAGTAATTTTTTAAATGTTAATCTAAATAGGAAAGTTGGAGCATACCTGAAGAAAAAGAAAATAATCCCCCATTGTGAGAAAACGCCGAGCAACGTGAGAGGAAGAGAAAAATAATATAAAAATTAGATTGTGGGTCCCACAATTATATTAAAAAAACTATTTTTGAATTTAATTATTCAAACTTTTGGGCCATTACTTGCAATTTTTATAAATTGCATCTTGGGCCATTAGTTGCAATTTTTACAAATTGCAAAAGTTTCTTTTTCTTTTGCTTCCTCGGAGACGCCTGCGCCTCCTCTTTTTATACGTGAGGAGGTGCCTCACCTTCCCGCATCCAATCGATATGGGACTAAACTGTCATCCTTTTTTTTTTACTTTCTTTTTTCTTTTTTTTTAACTCACACACACACAAAAAAAAATTATTTATATATTTTAAATTTTAAAATTTATATCTTAACTAAACATTTCTTATGTAATTTTAAACTTAAGTTTTTAATTCATAATTAAATGTCTAACCATATCATTATTTCTGAATAATCTTAAATAATATAAATTTCTATTATTTTTTTTTTATAAAAACTTAAATTTCACAATTTTTTTAATTTAAAAAAATCTGGATGTTACATTTCCTGTTTGAGCTCTTGCCTTCGCTCTACATCAGCTCTTTATATTGAAAATTTGGTTATGGACAGCAATACTTTTTTAGTAGCCAGTGCTATGATAAAGAAAACCCAATGTTCTAATACTCATCTTTACCTGCAAGTTATTGCCTTCTCAATCTCCACCACATTAGGCTTCTGGCTTCATAAATTCTAAATTTTCTTCTCAAAAGACCTAGTCTAGTTGCCTCATAGTGTGCTGACGTTGAAATAACGGGTATTAAATGTCTGCAACATTGGTGGTTGAAGGTAAGGAACTGCTTCAATTGTAAGACTGCTATTTACATCACTGGAACTGCTTACTTAAAGTCTGTGACAATGCATGGCGTGTAATTCAATAGCCGTGCTAACCAGTTAATACAAGTTTTCAGAACCTGTACTGTTCCCTTAATCGTAGTGTTTTGGCCTTTTTGTAGTCTGTTACATACCAATCGAACTAGCATGTTTAAGACTTAATTGCTTTATATATGCGATCGTATACCATTTGTTTTCAAAAAGCTGGCATGAATGAAGTACAGTCTGCACTATAACCATCTTCTATTTGATTCCTTGCTTCGTATTTTTGTCAAGGCTTTATATGTTTAGGATCGACTCGTTCCTTCAGTCTTAAGTGCATTAAATTTCCAAGTATGATAATGTTTGTTTTCTTTCTTTCATATTTTTCCCTTTGAATTAAACTTTTATTTTGGTATCTTCTATTGCAGGTTGTGGAAGGTTGAGTCGAGAGTTGCTGTATGTCACCCGTGATTCATCAAGAATGTTAAAAATTTTGCCCCAAGTTATGTTTGGAACGAGAAGTTATGTTTGGAACGAGGAGGATATAGGACATTAAATTTTGTTCCTGAGTTAGTATGGAAATTTAATCTTCCAATTAATGCAAGGTCTATTTATGCCCTCTTCGTTTTTCTTGTAAAACTTCTGCGGCGGGAAGATAGTGCCATAGTTTTTTCTATCCCCCCAGTTGTTAATTATTGGACTGTATTAAAAAATCCTAAAAACCATTCGGCAATTTTATTTAAATCCCTAACTATTGACTCTACTTCCCTCACAGTATTATTGGCTTTGAAACATCAATAATAGTTCTCTATTGAATTGCAAAATCAATAAATAATTAATACTTTTTCTGATAAAAAATATAAAATATTTTTAATTGAATTTTATTTTTTAATAAAGTAGTTACGTGCTTTTTAATTAATTTTATATTTTTTTATTTTTATCAAACACTCTACAATAAATATAAAGTCATTATTAATAAGGGTATTTTAAAAAAAGTGATAATTATATTTCAAGATTAAAAATATTTTATAGTTTTTGAACATGTAAGTTTTTAAAAAATTTTATTTTTAAATGGAGGAAGTATAATTACAAATTTCTAACGATAGAAGCGCAACAATGAAGTGAGAGTTCGTGCCTGAAACCGAGTTTTGGGTTTTCACATCACTTGTTGGGTTTGTAGAGAATGCGTTATATGACTATGCCAAAGTCGGATTTTGATGGCATTTACTAGGTTTGTAAAGGATGATGATTCTAAGTGAAATGTCCTGAACTGTTGCCCAAAGGTCACACTTTCTTATAAATTGTCTATAATGAAGTTATCATTTTAATTTTTTTCCTTTAACGTTTCTTTTAAAGTATTAGTATAATGATTGTACCTTTTATTTCAAGCTCAATTAAAATGCCCACATTGAAACCCCGTTGTTAATTCTTGAGTCTTCTCGAGTCACATGAGTTTGTTTAACATAAAGTTGGAAAACAAAATTTATGATATTAATTTAAAAACATGCTAGAATGCCAAGCGAGTTACAATTCCAGATTTTTTGGTAAAGAAGTAGAGCTCACTTATCAAAGTTATAAAGGGCATGTTTGGTTTCTATTTAAAAAAAAATGTTTTGATAAGTGTTTTGTATTTAAATATTTTTAAATCTGTTCTAATTTTTTATTTTAAAAAACTAGAAATGGAAACATTTTAGAGTTATTTTTTGTTATTTTATTTTTAAAATATACTATATTTGACAATTGTAAACTAACTTCAACTATGTCCAACCATTATCACAGATCATAACTATTTTTTAACTTTGAACTTGTTTTCAAATTAACATAATTAAACATGTTTTCTTTTTGTTTCATTTTAAAAAATAATTTTTAAATTTGGCTTCCAGAATAGTATTTTAAAAACAACAAATGAAACAAAACTATATAAGCCCTAAATATTCTTTATATAGGACATTGATAACCATTTTACAATTATTAAAAAAATTAGTTAAAGCCTTGATCTTTTAAAATATTATATTCTCTTCGTTTAAAAATGTAAAACATTTTTTGAAAAGTTGAATGTTAAAAAATGTGATACATTTTTAGTTTTTTGAGATATAATTATTGTATTTTTTTTAAAAATGTCCCTATTGATTTATTATAGAGTGTTTAATATAAGTAAATATAGAAAGATATGGTTAGTTTGAAAATAGATAATTATTTTATTAGGGGATGTGATTCGATTAAAAATGCTTTATATTTTTGAATGAAGAGAGTATATTTTTTCAATTTCAGTCTCACTTATGTCTTATATAATTGTTTTAACTTTGATAATTAAAATTTCAATGAATTATTATTTTTAAAATAAATAATAAATAACAAATATTTGGCCAAAATAATAAATAATAAATAAAGTAAGAATATAGTAAAAAATATAAAAAAAAACCTAATATTTGTATTTTAAACTAAACAATGTTTATAGAAAATGTTCAATATATCATAAACACAGGGCGAAGCTAGATTGTGATATTCGTATTACTCGAGCTCGAGGCCAGGTCTCAGATTTTTATAACGGTATCAATAAAAATAAAAAAAGTTAAAAAATAAAAAAATTAATGGAAAAATAATAATAAAATTCTTTTGAAATGTATAAATAGCAATTTGATTTTTCAAAATATCATAATTTCTTTAAAATTTCTACAAATTTTTTTATTATTAATAAATTTATATAAATTATTAAATTATTTTTACTAAAAGTAAATGATTAATAAGTTTTATTTAAATATTCACAACTTTTTTTTTATATTTTAAATATTATATTGCTGCCAATATAAAAAAAAATTATAAATATTTAAATAAAATTGATGAATCATTTATTTTTAACAAAAATAATTTAATAATTTATATAAATTTATTAATAATAAAAAAATTTGTAGAAATTTTAAAGAAATTATGACATTTTGAAAAATCAAATTGCTATTTATACATTTCAAAAGAATTTTTATTATTATTTTTAAAATTAATTTAAAGGTTTTTGTAGTTTTTATTAATTTTGAATTAGATTCTTGTAATTTATTTTATTTTATTCAAATTCTTGATTTATCAAATATGTTAATCCCTGAAAATTAAAATAATAATGAATCGTTAACCTTTCAAATACGAAAACGCTTATGGAGTTCATAGAAAACTGATTCAATACTTTCTAAAAAAAAAAAGTAAAATTTAATTTAATACAATTTTTATATTTTTATTTATTTTTTCATAAAAATTATTCATATATGAAATATCTTTAATTATATAAATTTGAGTTATAAAAATTATATAATTAATTTTAAAATTTTATAATCTTTTAATAAAAATATAGAAGTTTTTAATTTTATCTTTTAAAAATTCAATAATTTTAATGTTTAAGGATTAAAAAATTATAATGAATTAAATTATAAGAAATTAATTAAATAAAATAAATTATAAAGATCTAGCCGAAAAATTTAAAAGATTATAAGAATATATAAATATATATTAAAAAAAGTTAAAATATACTTTTAATTTTAAAATTTTATGTAAGGTTTTGATTTTAAAAAGTATTTTTTTTTAATTTTATAACTTTAATATAATTAATTATTTTTATGTTGATTATTTAAAAAATTAAATTTAATATGTTAATATTTAAAATATTTCATCAAGTTTAAAAGATTAAAAAAAAAACTTTAATTTCAAAATCAAACTTATGTAAAATATACTTTAGCCTTGAGGGGCGAAAGACAGAAATCTTAACGTCGTCGTCCCAAGCTTCATATCCCTAATCAGCAGGTCAGTACTGAAATACCGGCGCTGGTCCTCCCCTGCACGACGCCGTCAGCTTTCGTCTCTTGCTCGTCCTCGAAGGCCGCCCCTGAACTTCACCTGTTCAATACGTCTTCTCGACTTTCATTCTCCTCTCCTTCTCGGGCAACTTCATCTTCGGGTTTGTTGCATAATACGCATTTTACTTCTCTTCTGATTAAGACTAAATAGAATGTTATAGAACATCCCTTGTCATTGTTTCGAACTTCTTATATTTCTATATTTCTATTTTCTTGTTGACAATAATTTCTGGGTAGCTGCTTTTCTGTGCTTTTTTCTGTTCACGTGTTTGATTTTGATCAATGCATTTGCTGTAGATGGGAATATCTGATGCGGTGATAGACCAAGGAAATGGGGAACACCCTAGCACCAAACCCAAGGAAAAGCGGAAGGGCAAGCATGACAAGCCCAAGCCATGGGATGAAGACCCAAACATCGACCACTGGAAGATTGAGAAGTTTGACCCTTCTTGGAACGAAGGTGGAATGCTTGAAGTTAGTTCGTTTTCCACGCTTTTTCCACAATATAGAGGTATGCTAGGTCTCCCGGATAAGCAAAGGATCAACTTTTATTGTTTATTGTTGTGTTGCATTTATCTTGATTTCTTATCATCAATGAACAGACCTCGCAGTGCATGTATGTTACTTTGGGTTTTAGGGATGCTTAACCTGTCTAAATTTAAAATTTATGTTGGATTTTGTTTTTTTTTTTTGTGGACGTTACAGCATTAGACATTGATTTCTTGGTTGTATGATTTCAAGGAGATAAGAACTTTACGTAGCTTGAATTTCCCCCTCTCTTGTATCATCTATAAGACATCAGAACTTAACTGAAGTTTTTTCCAATATTGATGATATACTGACTCCAGTTTTCATTTGGCCGTTTGTGTGTTAGACTTGTCATTGGTGTGTTTGCCTTCTGGATTTAGAATCCTCCTTTTATTTTAATCAATGCGATTGGGTTGGGAACCTTGTCTGACATTTGGATTGTAGGGACTTTCTTGTCGCATGTGTTAGCATCTCATTGATTCAAAAATCATTTGACTATCCTTGCTTAGTACCTATTAGTCCCTCTAATCTTTTTGTATGCATATACAAAAGAAAATTTTGCATACGATGGTTTCTTATTCTTTTGTTTTTGTAATGCTATTCTCAGAAAAATACTTGCAAGAAGTTTGGCCCATGGTAAAATCTGCGTTGAAAGAGTATGGTATTTCATGCGAACTAAATCTGGTAAGTGCTTGCAATTACGTTTGTGAGTTCATCTATTTAAGTCTTTTGATTGCAGAGTATTGCTATTAGGAAATAGAAGAGGTTGATAGTGCTCTTATTTTTTAGACGTGAACATGTAGATGGATGGAATAAAATATGGCCTCTTATGAGCTAATCTGCCATTTTTGGTTCATAGTTTATCATATGCATCTGCATGTTTGTTCAAGGAGGATTTATTATCTTATATGTACAACTCCGTGCTTCAATTTTTATTATTTGTTATAAAATTAATAATTAATAAACTTCTTTAAACATGCAAACATACACGTGGTCAATTTGTTCAGGATCATCACAGCTGTGACTGGTCAAGGCTAAAAGCCTTTTGTGTCTTTGGTTTTCTCAACTTCCCAAGCTATAGTATCCAAAGGTCATCGCCATTTTTATTATTCTGGATTTGTGCTCTCTTATTTATTGTGTTGATTTGACAGGTGGAGGGATCAATGACAGTTTCAACTACCCGAAAGACCAGGGATCCCTATATCATTATGAAAGCCAGGGATCTTTTAAAACTTCTGTCACGCAGCGTGCCTGCTCCTCAGGTGAGCGAATGTATGCCTTTTTTTTTTTTAAAGGGGATTTGATTTTTTTTCCTTTTAAATTCTAAGGTGTTGTTGTTGTTGTTGTTGTTGTTGTAAATTCTAAGGTGCAGGGTTATTTATACTTGTGAATTGTAGAGGAGGTGCTGTTGGTAAAGAAACATTTGCACACATATGGGATATGCTTTTCATCCAAAGAATCTGTATTAGATATGAAATGATATCATTGTGTCGATACATTATAATACCTATAGGAGGAGAAGATGATCCAAGCACGCATTAGGATAAATCAAATAATGTAATTTATTGGGAAATAAACGCATCTTTACAGTACCTGTAGTTCAAGGTAGTCTTTATGCAAACTTTTGTAAATGCAGACTATAAATGATGTTGTTAGTAACTGGTAAGACTTCTCACAACTTAACTCACAAATAACCAGAAAAACAATGTAAAAATGGGATAACTTAGGTTTTGATATTAGTTTTCTCAAATACATTGAATCAGATTCCAGCCAAAGCTGATATCCCAAATATACCCAGACGTCAGTGACATCAACATAATTCAATTGAACAGCTCTATCGTATTTTCAAAATATCACTAATTTTGCGAAGTGCCAGCATCTCAAAAGAGATCTATCAATATTTTGAGATGATAGTGTTCTGTTTCAAGAAGGGAGCTATGTTAAGCTGGAGGGACCTGCGTCATATGACTGATTTAAATCCAAAATGTAATATTTAGTGTTTGGTTGCGAACTCCTATTTTTTTTTTTTTCTAGTCATGCATTCAATCGTGCATCTGCAATTCTGCATCTGTGTGAAATTATTTTTGTCATTTCTGGAAATTGAAAAATATTCTGCAGTTGTCTAAAATGTGTGCGTATATGTAATAGAAACTAGTTTCTACCACTTAATTATTGTTAGCATTCAACTTTGTTCCACCATGTGTAATGGGTGTTTGTTGGATTGTACGTATCATATTTAGTTTAGCTTACAGATTTTTATGTCACTATATTTTTATACTCAGAAGTTCGGTTGTTTTCCCTGTCCTTTTTGCAATATTTGTTGGAGATATTTGTTATGGTCAGCTCATTAAAGTATTTATTTGCTGATCTCAGGCAATAAAAATACTAGATGATGAAATGCAATCTGACATCATCAAAATTAGTGGCTTGGTTCGCAATAAGGTACTGATTTAGGTTAATTTTTAACTTGTCAGTTACATATGGCATGGTATCTGCTGATACATATGCACATACATATATGACTATGTATATGTTTGCCTGTGATATTTCACATGGATGGGTTATCCATGGCATGATTATTCCCTTCATGATATTGATATTTGAGCACATTTTTTTACTATAGATTATATGCTTGCAAAGTTTTTGATGGATTGTGCAAATGTTTTACAACATAACTTTCCGGTTGGCATATTTGAATTCCATTTCAATTTATATAATTTAAATTGGGGTAGATTTGAATTTTCAGCATTAGCAGCTTGACTATTTCAGAGCAGTTTTCATTAAGAATGAGATCTGAGTGGTTCCTCATATTACATTTTGAGCTTGTCCAGTATTTTTATGAAGTTGAAGCTTTTTAAAACGAAATTATTTTGGTGGTTAGAACTTGAAGTCATTGTCTGACTGCAGGAGCGATTTGTGAAGAGAAGACAGCATCTTATGGGTCCTAATTCTGCTACTTTGAAGGTGTGCTTCAAGCTTTGATATTCTTATCACTGGGGATGGCCCTTGCCCCTGTTAAATTTCTTACTGAACTTTATGTTTTTATTTATTTATTTATTTTTTTCTTTGCAGGCCCTTGAAATACTCACTGGCTGCTACATTCTCATTCAGGTAATTTCAATTATTTCTTCCTCTTTTAGAAGCTGGAATTTTACTTTCAGGAAAATTTTTGGTTAGACTAGACACTGGTGAATGAGTTAACTTCTTTCAATAGGGGGGCACAGTTGCTGCTATGGGATCCTTTAAGGGCTTGAAACAAGTTAGAAGAATTGTTGAAGAGTGCATGTTGAATAAAATGCACCCTGTGTACAACATTAAGGTGAATAATCTTTGTTTTTGATCTACTATGCTTTTAAAAGTTAATGGCATTGGATTAATATTAACTATTTATGTTTAAATTACTAGATTCTGATGATGAAGAAGGAGCTTGAAAAGAATCCAGAATTGGCGAATGAGAATTGGGATAGGTTTCTTCCAAAATTCAAAAAGTATGTCCTTAACTTATTTTGGTTTATGGGTGTTCAAAAATACCTCTGGTTTCTTTTTTGTTTATTTTACTATTCATATTCTTTTCCAGGAAAAATGTTAAGCAAAAGAAGGTCAAGGCTAAGAAGAAGAAGCCATATACTCCTTTCCCTCCACCTCAACCGCCTACTAAGGTGAGTACACTGCTATTCGCTGAAAAACTTGCTGATAAGTTATTATTATCCTCCAAAAGTATTTGGTGAACTATTTGAGCTGAGTTGTACTTGTTTCATACTCTTTGTAACATACGGTATTCCCTTGTTTCATATGAAGACAAGAAATGTGGAGAAAACAAGAGTACAAACCACGTCTTTGTCATGGAATCATATTTTATGGCAATGGTCCATCATGCAATTACATTGGTGTTAGTCCAGTTGGATTGAGAAAATTTTGAACTCAATGACTCAATTGACTTGATCTGGTTTAGGACTTGCATTTTGAACTGCCCGCCCTAGTTCTGTTGTTGTCATTGTTGAAGTTTTTGCTTTCATGTGATAATTAATTTACATCATTATGGCTTGCGAAACACAACTACTTGTTTATTGCCCACAATCAACCTTACAGGGGTGAACTGTTTCGCTTCATTTGTGCATCAAACATCAATCAAGATATGGTTTACAAAAATCTGACTTATCCATTGTGTTTTTTTCCCCCTTTTATTTATTACTTCTTTTGATTATATACTTAGATATTCTCTTTAGTTCTGCTATGCTTACGACCTTCTTGCACTCATCAGATTCGTTCTTGCCTCTCTAATCATGGATTGCATTATTGGTTTCATAGGTGCATTCTGGTGATTTATGGTTTGAAATTGAGTTTTGTTTCCTTATGTACATCTCTTTGTAGTGGTCAATGTTGTACATGTCTATGAAAGTTGAGTTTCGACATGCCTTTGCTCTTCTTCTCTCTGATATTTTTGCTGTTAATGTTAAAGTTTTGACATGCCCTTGTGTGTTTTGCATATTGCAGGAGGATATAGAATTAGAAACTGGAGAATACTTTCTAAGTGAGAAAAAGAAGTCAGCAAAGAAATGGCAAGAGAAGCAGGAGAAGCAAGCACAAAAAGTTGCTGAAAACAAACGAAAAAGAGAGGAGGCTTTCATTCCACCCGAGGTTTAATTTAATTTAGTCTTAGCTTGAGCAATCTCCACATTTCATTACAGCACTTTTAATTATTTTTGAGAATGACAACTGAGGACCTCATAAGAGGATTGACATCAAATCGGGATTTTTTATAATGATTTTCAGTGCTGAAACATTGGAGAATGAATATTGAATTTGATAACTTATGTTGAGATCCTGATTTGGTATTAATTTTTTGTGAGGTCCTTACTTGTCATTCTCCATAAATTTTTTGGGTGATATTTATCATTTGTTTAATTTGTATTATTCAGGAACCCACAAACCAGGAGGATAAATCTGAGGATGCCAAAAAGGATGTCTCTGCCACGGTGATGTCATTGAAGGTAAACAATAAGCTAACTTTTTCGTTTTTTGGTGGGGTGCGGCGATATATTGAAGTTAGTGATTCTGCCAATGAATTTTCTCTCATGAGCATTCAAAATGGTTTGTCCGCAGGAAAAAACTAAAGAGCTTGGGAAGCGCAAATCTGAAGAAGAGAATATAAATGTAGAAGCATATATTGCAGGATCTGCTAAAGAACAAGTATCAAAGAAGAAATCCAAGAAGCAGTGGTCTTAGCATGATCCACGTGTGTTGCATCACAACGTTGTTCTGGTTGGTCCAGGATAATAGTTGACTTGATTTTTTTTTTGGCCTGAGTTGACTTGTGAAAATTTTTTTTGGGGGGGGTATGTGTATCATGAATTAATTTATGGTGGGTCCAACACAGTAATTGCGATTAAAATTACGCAAGAATTTTGCTCTGGGATCTCCGGGCGTGTCATGTCTACAATACAATATAAATTTGAGAATCGAGCTTTTTTTTTTTTTTTTTGGAATGAGAATACAAGGCTACAGAAGTGAACAAGACTTTTCGCGTGTTGACCTGTGGACTTTGAATCCCCTGTACACACACTTCACTTTTTTGTTGACTTGGCCGGAGACCAAGTCGTTGGTAAAATTTAAATAAACTTGCAAAAAATATTTAAAAAAAATTAAAATTACTAGTTATATGGATAACTAAACAACAACAACAATATTTTTCTCAGAGTTGAAGTAAGGATTTTTCTCAGTTTTAATTTGTATATCAATATTTGTGTGTGCATATATTGAAATCTAATGCATTTTTAATTTTATTTTTAATTTTTTGTTTGCATAATTATTAGAAAAATAAATGTCGTGTTAAAAGGTTTTCTGAATCTACGAGGAAAAATGAATGACAGCTATATGGGAATTTTCTTCATCATGCTTGACTGGAAATTGGAATTATCGTTTCACTCTCAAAGAAGAACCGGCCAACTGGAAAAGTTGAATTTTATTTTTATATTAAGTATCGTGAAAATTTATGGGTTTGGTTCTCTTAACTTTTTGGCTTGGACTATTATAAATATATATACATAATTCATTTGATTATTTAGCAGGTTGATAGCAACTTAAATGAAACGACAAGTTCCCATGCTCAATTTAAAATTGGGATAACTTATTATAATATTTTTAAAATTATAGTTAAAATTAAGTTTGATTTAAAATATTATGTTTGCTTTCTCCACATTCTCTTTTTTTGTCGCCCAATATATCCTCACAGTCAATAGCTATGAGATTAATATTTTGAGAAATTTGAACACTATTTAAGTGGTTATTTTCTTTCAAATAATGCTTTTCTATACATATTTTTAGAAATTAAATTTTAAAATGTTACTTAAAGGGTTCAAACCATTATCATCTGAGCTGCACTTATTTGGTTCTCCACAATTTTTTTCACGCAACATTTTCTTCACATTTTAATCTACATGTATTATTAAATACATTTTAATCTACGTATATTCTTATATAATATATAGGATAAGTTTATCGTGCCCGGCGTGAAAACCATGCGATCAAAATCAATTTAAAATTTTAAATAAAAATTATGCCAGGCTTTTCTAAAATATTTGTTTTGGAACAGACAAATATGGCTTACTGTATATTAATTTCAACCAACATTTCTTATCATGGCATTCTTTGACTAATTTGTTGATCGTTATTAATTGTTATTCTTATTATTATTGATATAATAAGTTAATAGCTAATAAGTCCTCAATTAATCTAAAACTAGGAAGAACACTTTTTTTTTTTCTGATGATGTCCACGAAAACAAAAATGTTGCTGTCCAAATAACAGACTACAAACATCTATTTAAAATATGGTTAAAAAATGTCCTTGACATTTTCACTATTATTAGGTGGAGTGGAATAAAAGAATTTTCTATTTGAGCCTCATTATGATCAAATTTAAATTAGTTAGCCCTGAGTAGTATAAGTTAATAATATATAATATATAGCTAATTTCCTTGCTCTGTTCTTTGTTTTTCATTTGGATCTTTGATCCACTTTAGTTCAACAAAAAAGTAAGATATAGTTGTATTAAAGAATAAATTATATATTGACCAAAAAAAAAAGAATAAAGTATATAAAACTTCTCCAGTCACATACATATATGATAATTAAAACTAAAAAAGGGAACCCTATTATTAATGTGTTCGTTACTTTTTACTAATAGAATATATATGTCATTGATTACATTAATGTTTGTTTATTTTTATGCATGCTACTTTCTTAAACTTTGAATTACGTATTCATATATTTGGCCAAAAAGAATTATATATTCATAAACCATTTTTAAATTTCAAGTTCCTTAGTTTAAAATATATTGTGCATTAAATAGTTTTTATAATTTTTTAGCTATATCCTTTCTTTATTTAATATTTATTTTTTTTAAAATATTTCATTAAAATTTTAATTCTTATTATGAAGACTTATAAAGTGTATTCTTTTAACAAACACTTGTATAGAAAATTTAACAAAAGTACAATTAAAAAGATGTATAATTTTATTTAAAAAATTAAATTTTAACTAATTTTTTTAAGAACAACGAAGTCGTTCTTAAAGTTTATATTATGAAGTGGAGGGAGTAGTTTGTTTTAGAATTATTTAATTCAACTACTAAAATTTTGAGAGGATCAACTGCACACACACTTATATATATTTTAAATATAGAGAAGAAATATAAGAAAGAAGGCATATTTCCAAGTTTTCAACTAAAAATAAAATAATGTTAGGATGAAAGAGAAGATTAACTCCTAAACTATATATTTAAGAGCATTTAGGGTTTTAAATTTATTGTTAATGTAATATTCTCCTTTAATTTTTAGAAATAATGTAATTTATTTACCGTTAATAAAATTTAATTTTAATAATTAGTTGATCAAAAATGATATAAAAGGAAATTATAGAAAAGGACTGAAAGATTACAATAAAAAACCTAAAAATTATAGATAATGATTGAAAAAATAATAGAAAAATAACTAAAAAAATTTTATTAGTATTTTTTTAATTTTTGAAATACTTTTTATTTAACTAATAATTAAAGTTAATTTTTATTAATGATAAAAATTAAATTACAGCAGTTTCAAAAATTGAAGAGAAACATAGTGCTGATTTAGAGATTAATTTACTCTTTTACTCATATTTTTAAATCAATCAATTCTCAGGTGATGATTTAAATGTACTTTTTTTTTTCTATCCAAAGTATATAGGGATGATTTGCAAAAGTCGTCAAGTATATAACATTAAAAACGATTTCATTTTCAGATGTATATATAATTTTTTATTAAAATATAAATTAAATTTTGCCGTTTAATCGTTGTAGTTTTTTTTTCCCTCCAAAGATATCTAACAGTTTCCGCCTTGACCCCTTCCTTCCTTCCTTCCATCCTTCCACCACCTCGTTCTCGCGCTCTTCCTCTGTCGTTTACCCTCTCGTCACGTCACTGATTCATACATATACCCAATCCCTCTCTTCACATCAAACCCAAATCCCAACCTTTCTCTCTCTATAACCTCAATTTTCCATCTCTAAACCGCAACGATACACCAAGTCTTCACCAACAATGGAAAATCGCATTTCGTTCCTCAGAAATTCCATAATCCCACGCTTCGCGTTCTGGTTTTTGCTTCTTGTTAGCTCCGTATGTGCTCGCTTTGTGGTGGAGAAGATCGATATCACCGTTCTGGCTCCTAAAGAGCTCCAGGAGAAGCACGAGGGAGCTGCGGGAAACTTCGGCGTGCCCGATTATGGAGGTTACATGACTGGTTCAGTGGCTTATCCTGACAAAGGGGCTTTAGGGTGCCAACCCTTTGAGGGCGAGAAGCCCTTCAAGTCTGAGCCGTCGTTGCCTACTATTCTTCTCCTTGATCGTGGAGGTATCTTCAAGTCAACTCCATCGTTGACTTTTCTTAACTCGTTTCTTAATTTTTTTTTTTCCTGATCAATCTTGCTCCAGGCTTCGTGTGATCAGCATATAAAAGTGTTATGTATGATCCTTAGGTTAGGGTATTCTATTTCAGTAACAACTAGCACTTGACATAATTTTCTATTAAATTCTGATTAGGTTCTCCTTTTCGTTAAAAAGCCTTCTCTTTACGATTTATAAGAAACAAAGAAGGGAAAAGGAACAAAACAGAAGAATTGGTGAAAACTGAGGAGAGTTTCTCAAATGTTTAAAATGTTCCTTTAAAATAGTTAAACTCCTTTCCGTACTATAACTCTTTGAATCGAGAGATTTATAAGGCATACTCTGAGACAAAACTATTTCCACTTGCAGAGTGTCTTTTTGCCTTGAAGGTATGGCATGCTCAATTAGCCGGAGCTGCAGCAGTATTAGTGATTGACAAGAGTGATGAGCCTCTCTTAACTATGGATTCTCCCGAAAGGACCAGGTCAGCGGAAGGGTACATAGAGAGGATTAACATTCCATCAGCTCTAGTAAGGAAATCTTTCGGTGACAAGTTGAAGGAAGCTTTAAAAAACAAAGGACATGTTTGGGTCAAAATGGATTGGCCAATGCCTCATCCTGATAACAGGGTTGAGTATGAGTTTTGGACAAACAGCAATGACGAATGTGGAGCTCGTTGCGATGAACAGATGAATTTTGTGAAGAATTTCAAGGGTCACGCTCAGATTCTTGAGAGGGGTGGTTATACTTTATTCACTCCACACTATATAACATGGTTTTGTCCAAAGGCTTTTATTGACAGCGATCAGTGCAAGTCTCAGTGCATAAACCATGGAAGATATTGTGCACCAGATCCCGAGAAGAATTTTTGGGAGGGGTACGAAGGGAAGGATGTGGTTTTTGAGAATCTGAGGCAGCTCTGTGTCCACAGAGTTGCTAAAGAGAGCAACCAATCATGGATCTGGTGGGATTATGTGACAGACTTCCATATCAGATGCTCTATGAAGGAGAAGAAATACAGTAAAATTTGTGCTGAGACTGTCATGAAATCATTAGGTAAGTCATAAGGCAGTGTCTGATACTAAGCTTGAATATTTAATTATAAGATATTTGAAGTGTAAGTATGAAAATTTTAAAATTTATGTTCTTTATGTGTTCTAGGTAGCATAGAAATACTGTACTTTTTTCATAGAACTCAAATTTCTCTTTAGTAGATTTCCAACTACTCTTAGTACTTTTGTGCAGTAGAATTAGATTCTGCTACTCTCTGTTTTATTAAGGTTATTCTTTTGGCCACAGATCTGCCCATTGGGAAAATAAAGGAATGTGTTGGTAATCCCGAAGCTGATGCAGAGAATGAACTACTAAAAACCGAACAAAAGCTCCAGGTTTAGTTCTATATCTTTACAAATTCACAAGATAATAAACTATCATCAATCAGTCTTGCACATTTTGACTATTTTGTTTCATTTGTGATATTTAGGTTGGGCAAGGATCCCGTGGTGATGTTACCATCTTGCCCACAATGATTATAAACAATATTCAGTATCGAGGTTTGTTACCTTGTGCCTGTTAAAATATCATTCTGCTTAAATTATCTGTCGTGTTCTCTTTGAATTCATTAGCCTTTTCCATTCTTAAACCCTGCAAATTGATGGCTACCGTGTAGTTGGTGTTGATTCTCTGTTCTTTAGCTTTATTTCTCTATAATCATCTGCTTCTTCCTTGCCTATTGTTTCTATTGTTTATTTAACTAAATCTCTCCCCTCCTTAGTGCAGCAAATATATATATATATATATATATATTAACTCATTTAAATGATCCCTTGTAGCATTTATACCAGAATTCTAAAGATCTTGGCTTGTTTTGTGTAAAGGTAAATTGGAGAGAACAGCTGTCCTGAAGGCCGTTTGTGCTGGATTTAAGGAGACTACTGAGCCTTCAATCTGTTTAAGTGGAGGTTGGTGCACCTAAGTTTCATTATTTAAGCTGCACTGTTGAAATCATTCTCCAAGTTCTGGAAAACTAGCTATGATTGTGCGATAATATATTGGATTTGTGTTTATCAGATCTCGAGACAAATCAGTGCGCTGAAAAGAATGGAGGGTGCTGGCAGGACATAAATGCTAACATAACTGCTTGCAAGGTACATATGAATATGGAATTTCAATTCTTTCCTTTCTTTTTAAAATTAACATTTTGCAACGTTCTATGTTTAAGTGTTGGTCTATTAGTGATTGATTATGATGAGCAACAAACTCATAGCGAGACTTGAACTTTTTAACAGGATACTTTCAGGGGAAGAGTTTGTGAGTGCCCCATTGTAAATGGTATTCAGTATAGAGGGGATGGCTACACATCTTGTGAAGGTAGGCCTTTTTTTCCAATTCATGAGACTTGGGCTAAAGTTTCTTACATGTGTGTTTTCCAGTCATCCAATCAAAATATAAATCGTGAGCATTTTTCATAACTTAGCACAACGATATGGCTTCCTTAAAAGAATTCCTTTGATTATCATTATTCTATCTTAAAACCTTAAAGAAAATGCCAAAGGATTGCAGCTAAGATTAAATAAAGTATTCATAAATGTCTTCTCACATTCCACAATGAGATCAGAGAGCAATTTCAGAACTTATATATTCACAGTGCTACGCGACTTTCATGATGATGATGATGATGAGATACTCACTCTTTGCCTTTATTGACAGCTTTTGGACCAGCGAGGTGTTCAATCAACAATGGAGGTTGTTGGTCAGAAACTAGAGACGGCAGGACTTTCTCAGCTTGCACAGTTCAGTATAGCTTATTCTAACCTTAATATTTTTTCTATTCTCTTTTTGAAGAAAATAATTTTAAAATATTCTCCTTGGCATGCATTAAGTGTCTAGGCTTACTGACTTCCCTTTATTTTTTCTTGCATATAGGGGTCCAAAGAAAACGGGTGTCAATGCCCATTTGGCTTTTCTGGGGACGGGACTAAATGTAAAGGTAACTTTTGATCCCATTATGGCAGTTCAAGCAATCTCTAATCTTCTTCAAATGATCAATTTCAAAGGCATATTGACATTCTTAAACTTTTTCTGATCTGATTCTGATGCAGATGTTGATGAATGTAAGGAACACAGTGTTTGTCGATGTGATGGCTGCACCTGCGAGAACACTTGGGGTAGTTATGAATGCAAGTGCAAAGGAAACCTTCTGTATATAAAGGGCCAAGATGTTTGCATCGGTAAGATTGTGAAGTCAAAGTTAAGACAATTCTAGTTTGATTGTTATCTGAAAAGAATCCCACGAAATCTTGATCATTGCACAAAGATTTAAAGATATGATCTGTCAGAATAGCATGAACTGCAGCCCTGTGGATCTCATTCCTTTTTCCAAAAATTGTTTGACTTCGTTTGTTACTGTTTTAATTGATCAGTTCTTACACATCTATTCTGTACTGTCACTTTTATGCAACTAAAGAGATGAAACTGTACTATAAGCATTTTCTGATTTTATTGGCTGTAAAATAGAGCTGAACTTCTGCAGTGAGTATTTATTTTTGTTAGGATGTCCAAGTGAGTAAACTTGAGTAGATGTGGAAAGTCCATGTTGGATAAAGTTAAACTCAATAAATAATATATAATAAAGTATAAGGACTGATAAACTTGAGCCTTGAACTTGAGTAGACATGGAAAGTCCTATAACTAAAAAAATTGGCTAATTAATTAATAATTAATATTTGCTAAAGTAGAATGACCCACAAACTCAAAACCTAAATCTTTTGAGTTAAGATGCAGTGTCCTTCACTAGTATATTGTGTTGGACTTAAGTAGGTATGGAAAGTGCCATATTGAGCTTGAAAAGTAATATATATTAAAGTGGAAGATCGCTCACGTTCCTAACAATTTTCACTTATCCTTGAGACCTAGACTGATCCATCATATATTTTTTTTTTTTAACAGAAAGAAGTGGATCAAAATCTGGCCGGTTCCTTGCCTTTGTGTTTGTGGCAGTTATTGTTGGAGCTTGCATAGCTGGTTACATATTCTACAAGTACAGGTTCCGGGTAAGTAAAAAGTTCATTCAATTTAAAATGTTTAAGTTGCTTAGTAAAAGTTCATGAATAATTAAATCTCCAGCTTTCCTTTCAGACCCTTGAGGCCTAAAGAATGAACACTGAACAAATCCTAAGCCAGCAATAACTTGTGTGAAAACTTAATTTTGATTATGATGACTCTCACAACAGCTATTTCAAATCAAGTTTAAATCATCAAAATAAAAAGGCTAAGAGTAATTTAATTATAATTTCTAACATGATTTATGTTCTTGTCTAGTCATACATGGACTCCGAGATCATGTCTATCATGTCACAGTACATGCCACTTGACCAGCAGCATAACAATGAGGCTCATCCTGAAGCTGAACCTCTACGACAAAGCTCGGTATAAGGTATATGTTATCTCTTTGCTTGATAAATCCTAAGGAATAATTAAATCATGTAAGGTAGTGTTTGGATTGATGGATTTGAATTTGGATTTGAATTTTGAAATATTGTATTTCAAATCTCACATTTAAAATTCATGCATTTAAATTCTTTGTTTGGGTAGTTCAAACAATTTCAAATGAATAAGAGAAATAAACTGAGTTTTGAAATGAAAATAAAAAATTGAAAATGATGAGTTTATTTTTATTTTTTAATTAATAAAAAATGAGAAAAGATACGAGTTATCAATGATGAAAATATGAAGAGAATAAGATGTTTAAAGTAATTAGAATTTTAAACATAATTAAGGAGTAGAGGGTTTTTGAAATTATAAAGGAATTATAATTTGAAATGGATTTATATTTAAACCAAATTCAAATTTATAATTTTTTATATATTCAGATTTAGTTCAAATTCAAATTTAAATCCAAGTTCTCATTAACCCAAACACATCATGAGAGTAAAAGATCAAGTATTTTTAGGTTGAGCTTGATTCTATGGAGAAGAATCCTCTTACGTAGCAACCATTACAGAAATCAGAGCTAAAGGAGCCAGCTGCATAGAAGAATCAATGACATATGGATTGTAAGCAAAATTGGTCACACAACATTAACATCCATTTCACAGCCATGAAGTGAGATAAAGGAAAGAGCCAATGCTTTTCTTACAAAGTATTAGGATGATCATGTATAGTACTGTTGAATACACAAATTTTCTTCATAGAATACTTTTGACAGTTTTTAGATGGAACTGTTGAGCTATACATGTAAGCAGTAAGCCTGAGATGTGATAGGGGATCATGTGATGACCTGGTGAAACAAATAAGGACATAGATACAAAAGCTTGCTTGTATGAAAATAAATGAATAAATAAATAGATTAAGTTCGCATGTCAGATATTTGCCTTAGCATGGTTTAAATACTTCTCCACTATTTTGGTGTTCTGGGGGCCCCGGGGGGGGGGGATTTATCAATCATTTGGGAACTTTAACATTATTCCTTCCTGTCGTGTGGCTGTGGCTGCCTTCCAAGTGCAATCACTGCCAATATAGGTCGGCAATGACGCGTGACATTTATTTTCCTTTTATTTTTTGTGGTGATAACTCAGAAATTGCTTCTTTGGACTTCTTATGACAATGAATATTCAATGATAGTGTGTAAAGAAATGCAAAGTAAGTATTATAAATGAAAAAATGTAAATAAACTAAATCTTCTTTTTTCATATGTTAAATTTGCAAAACACACAGTTTGATTTCAGCTTTCAAAATTTAAATGGTTAATTTGAATTATGCAGATAGTAATTACTCCTTTCATTCAAATCATAAATGTAAGGGTTTGATAACTAATATACTAAATAGAACCACAAGTAATATCTTACGGTGATACATGTTTTTAATTGTATTTTGTTAAATTTATTTTTTAAATTTTTTATTTTTAAAAATAGATAAAACCATTTTACCTTCAAATATCTCCCATTATCTCAACTTCTTAAAAGAGCATTATCTTAACTTCTTAAAAGAGCATAACCACAAGCAACATCTAATCGAGACATATGTTCCTAATTTTGTTTTGCTCTATTTATTTTTTAATTTTTAAAAATAAATAAAACTATCTTACCTTCAAACATCTTCTCATCATCTTAACTTCCTAAAAATGTAAAACCGCAAGCAACATTTGACAACATGTTTGACGTGTCCTTGACATTGTTTTACTTTATTTATTTGTTAATTTTAAATTTTTAAAATAGATAAAGTTGTCTTATCTCCAAACATCTCTCTATTATCTCAACTCTCCATTATATTATACTAAAATATATTATTTTATTGTTACTAAAATATATTATGATGACAAGTAATTTGTCATTTAATAGTTAGAATCAAGATTGATAAATCTAATAGTTATTTTTATTATATTAAATTTATCACTCTAATATAAAATAATATAAATTTACCTTCTAAGTTTGACACGTGTTCAATTTATAAAATGCTGTAATTTTAAAGAGCCACACAAGATTTTAATAATGTTATATAAAACAATCTAATTTATATATTTTAAATTTTCTTATATTTTTCTAGATTTTTAGATCCCATAATCTATCCATTTTGAATCCTAACTTCCTAAATAAATAAATAATCATAACTTCTTAAATGTTATTTAAATTAAATATTTTTAAATATATAAAAAAGTATTTACCATGAAAAAACTTTGAAAAATAAAAAGAAATCAAACATTATAACTCTTCCTACACCCAATTTTATTTTTGTTATGTAAAATTAGGTAATTTATATATTTAAAATTTTCTTATATTTCTCCTAATTTTCAGATTCCACAATCTATTTGCTTTAACCATAATTTCTTAAATGTTATTTAAATTTAATATTTTAAAAATATATAAAAAAATTCTCCATGATGAAGAAAATTTAAAATCAAACATTATAACTTCCCTATGTCCGATTTTACTTATTATAAAATGATCTAATTTATATGTTTTAAATTTTCTTATATTTCTTCTAATTTTTCAAATGTTACAATCTATCTACTTTAATCATAACTTCCTTAATGTTATTTAATTTTAATATTTTTAAATATAAAAAATAAAAAAATTCAAACGTTATAGCTTCCCCTATATCCTAAAAATTTCTCCCTTATCATAGCTACTCTCCCCATCTAAAAACTTCCCCACTATCATATCTTCCAAACTTCTTATTCCCAATTTTAAAATTGAATTTAAAAGATTTCGATAAATTTTAATTTTCATAACTTTCCCACTCAATTATCAAAGACCAATGTCATTTATAATTTTCAAGCAATCCTCACTTTTAGTTTTAATGCAACCATCACATATCATTTTCACATTCAGTTTTTAGAATGCTAATCCATTTTTTGTATAAAAGACATAAAAAGCAAAAAGGGTAATTTACCAGTATCATTAATCCTATACTTGCTCTCGCTGCTCAACGTCATTGCAAAAGGAACATGATTGATGGGATGAAAGTCATGAAGCACACAAGGTCGTGATTGTTTTTGTCTGAAGAGGATGAGAGATTAGTGGAAAAGCTGCAAAGCATGTTTCAATATGAAGATAAGGTGGACAAGTTACTGACATTGTTCAAGATGTTGGGAAGCTTTGGAGAAGGGATATTCAAGTTCTTCTCATGATGTTCTTAATTTCTTAGCAATGTGATTAATGTAAATGGAGACATAAATATTGTTTTAACAAAGCATGATATAAATAAGGTTAGCTTCCTTAATGGAATATTCATTCTATACTATATAAATAACAATTCATAAGTAATTTTCCCAACATGTACTTAATTGTAAGAACTGTACGTTTTTAATTGCTATTCAATTTGTTTCCGCAATAAGCTTTAAGGCTAGGTACAATAAGGCTATTATAGGAGGAGAAAGAACTATAGAGAGATAGACTTCAAGAACGAGAATGGAATACTTGAAATCCATACTTTGACAAAAAGGCAAAGTCTTTGACACTCAAGTATCAGGTTTTTCAACAACATACCAAGTTGTCTCCCTTATTACACTAAATACCAACTCAATTTAAGATGTTTTAAGAGAAAAGGTTCCATCTCATTAGGTTTTTTCTATCAAAAGTGAAACCAATTTATTTAATAAAAATCATTATTGCCTTAATATTGATTTTAACTCTTTTTTGGATAGGCTCTCAAATTAAGTTGAAAAGGAAGATAAAGCATAAGAGAGGATTAATTAAATGAGAAGTAAGATCAAACCGAGTGTTTGTGATTTTGAGGCTTACTCGTAATCATATTGATATAAGTGAGGTATATGTCATAAATTCTTAGCATATTGAAAAACAAAATCCTTATAGATGCATTTTATAATTTCATTATTTACTTTAAATATATGAATTTGTCCATTATGGATTGTGGAGGCATTGCTTTTAGAACACATAAGGTTCTTATTTTTGTGGTTGATAATAACAATAGAGATTGAGTTCTTAAAATTAGAGATGAGTCACACTAATTGTTGAATGAAGCATTAAGTTGTGTTGTATGACTTTTGTCATTATGCATTGTGATATTATTAAGTTTTGGTTTTTGTAAAATCTCTAAATTTAATTTATGAGTTAATCATTTTTATTTAAAGGCAATTTACTCTAAATTTTAAGTACATATAATTATTTATTTAAATTATGTTCAAAATTTTCACATCCTGTGCGATGCACGGGCCACATACTAATGATTTTAAAATTAAAACGAACCATACAATCGAACTACCAACCAGAGCCATTGAATGCTTGGTTTGGACTAAAAAATTGTTTTTATAATTGAATCAGATTGAATCAGAGTTGAGCCAAAAACTAGAGTTGAACTAGAGCATTTTTTTAGAAAATCAAATGGTTTTAAACTTAATATTAAAAAAGAGCTTAAAAAATTTAAAAAACTAAAAAAATTCAAAAAATAGATTCTACTAAAAGTCAACTTTATTTTTAGACAATTCGCATGTCTAAAAAATAATTTGACACATTTTTTATAAATATGTTGACAATTATAAATGTAAATACAAATATTTTTGAGTCTACTCGTATCTACTTTAATCAAGATCTACCTATATTTAATAAGTTATAAAATTATAATTTATAATATTATTAATTTAGAGTCATGATATGTCATTTTATTAATATACTATAGATTTTTTTCCTTATATTTATTATATATATATATATATCTTTAATATTATTTTTATTTAATTATTATGTCACTGGTTCAATCATTGATCCAACTTGGTTGGACTATGTGAACTGTGAACCGCTAACCTTTTTAATTTAATATTCAGTCCGATTCTGAAAACATTGATCATATCAAATATGAATTAGGTACAAGTATGTTTACTTTTTTTTGAAATATCAATGCTTTATACAAAGATGCTATCATTCAAATAGCAAAGAGTAATATACAACACACCAGATCAATGAAAACCGTAGACCCTCAAGGGGGAACAAAAGACTACAAGAAGAGTTAAACAAAACAGATCTAACTAACACATTGATTCATAAAACCAACAATAATAATTATAAAAAAACACAATTAAAGAAACCTTCATTAGCCCCTTAGCCAACACCACTTCTAATAGTAATCATAGATTCTTCAAGCAATCATGATACAAGATAGATGTGAACGGGGGTGGGGTGAAATCACCCAATAACAAATTCACTATCGTATCATTTATTGGAGATTACTATCGATTTTGGCTTCTTGCAAGCAAGTTGTCGGCTACAATGTAAATTGAAGACAGATTTTTCATTTTTGGAGTTTGCTTACCCTCACAATTGTCTCGACCAATTTAGCATGTGTGTTGCTTATGGCATGTGACCTCACCTTCTTCTGGCTCGTCATTGGTATTTTGGTTTGGGTTCTAAACTCAACATTAGCAACTAAGCAAGAGGGATGGGCTCATTGCAAAACTTGACCCAACACCTTACAACTTTGCAAACTTATTTGTTTCATGACATAAATTGCCAGAGAGTGATTAAACCCTTCACAAGATGTCATGGGTCTTGAGTAGAGAGACGTGGCGTGAAAAGTGAGTTTTGCGAGTTTAGGGGCTCTTCCACGCTCTCACATAATGGATTATTCTTTTGAAATGCTTGATTGAAATTCACGTTTTATTGACAAACAAGAACCATCCAATTAGAAAAGTTGAGTTTTCTTTTTATTTTTTTAATATCGTGGAATTTATAAGTTTGGTTCTTGTGACCTTTTGGCTTGGAGTAAAAAATGTATCAGCTAATTAATATGATTATTGAGGCGGTTGATAGCAACTTCATAACCCGGCAACTTGTCATAGTCGATTAAACAAATCAGGATGGCTTGCTACAATATTTCCAACAAGTATAGTTAAATTAAATTTGATTTAAAA